TTGCGCGGTTTCGCATTCCTCACCCGCGCACCACTGGCGAAGCCGGTATCTGGTTTAGTTTAGCGTTGACGCGAGGCCGTACATCTGCGCGCTATGCAAAAAGAAAGCTTCGAAAGGAACGCGAGTATCTTTTCATTGGCAAGTTTGTGGAATTGTTGCAGTTCATGAAACTGCTCTGATAATATAGTTATAATCGTGAAATCGAAGGCAGTTGGTAACCGTGTGTGGGACCCCGAGGGTCTGCCTGCGTGCTCTGGCAGAATACATAGGAAAATGGTGGACCTTTTCCTCTAGAGTTAGTATGTATGTATGGGACCAACCGACCATAAGAAAAGATGTCGTCCTGTCGATGGATGGATGGATGGATGAATACGGCTGAGCCCTTTGGATCGGGCGGTAGCTTACGCCACCTAGCCATTTTGTTTTACCATTTAAGCTTAGAATATTTAAATGTGAAATCTATATTCACTCCGCAGTGCAAAGAAAGTGAGGCTATGAAACCCCCTTGCCATCAGTGGATAAGAAAATACCTAGTTTTCTCTCGATTTCTGCCACCATTCACTTAATCTTTGCTTGGTAATCTCTACAGTCTTGAAATCCACTCTCCCTTCGCTGTCTCTAAAACCCAATGACTTTATTAAATCTATGTTGTCTTCGGTAGGCATAAGGTGAAGCCCTTTACAGTAGAGTATCAAGTGCTCAGCCGTCTCGTCCTCCTCTCCACAAGCCGTGCACACTGTATCAATTTCCTGGTACTTCACTCTGTATGTTCTGGTTCGCAGAACACCCGTTCTTGCCTCAAACAGCAATAGCTTCCCCTAGAATTGTCATAAATGCTTTCTTTGGCAATAACTCTTTTGTTTAATCTATAGCTTTCCAGAGCCGTCTTTGTCTGCATTCCCTCTAGCCACCAATCTCTTTCTGTGGCCTTAACTTTCTTCTTAACTGAGACTTGCTCTTCCGTAAAAAACTTTCCTCTTAATTTTCTAGTGCGCTGTCTCCACTTTGTGTCTACACTCCTCATGTATAAATAGCTGAAAACCGTTCGTGCCCATTGCTCCCCGTCCATTTGCCTCAACCTATCCTCAAATTCTACCTTGCTCACCGCTTCCCTGCTCTCAAACGATGCCCATCCCATGTCTCCTTGTACTCCCTGGTTTGGCGTTTTGCAATGTGCCCCCAAAGCCAGTCTACCTACTCCGCGCTGTTTTATTTCTAGTCTCGCATGCACTTCGGATTTCATGCATAGCACTGCGTTTCCAAAAGTCAAGCCAGGCACCATGACCCCTTTCCAAATCTCTCTCACCACCTCATACCTGTTGTAATTCCAAAGTGCTCTATTTTTCATTACAGCTGCATTTCTGTTGCCCTTACCTATTATATACTTTTCATGGTCTCTGAGATATTCTGCACCATCACATATCCATACTCCTAGATACTTGTATTTACTAGCTCTCTCAACTGTAATATTCTGTATCTTCAGCCTCTCAACTTCACCCTCGTTAAAAATCATGACTGCCGATTTTTCGCTACTGAATTCTAAACCTAATTCCTCTCCTTCCCTACCACAGATGCTCATTAATTCCTGCAACTCTGTCCTGTTGTTAGCCATTAGTACAATATCATCCGCATACATCAATCCCGGTAAGGATTGCTGAATTTTTTGGCCTAGCTTACTGTAAGAAAGGTTGAACCCAAGCCCACTCTTCTCTAGTCTATCCTCCAATCCTCTCAGATACAACATAAACAGCAAAGGCGATAACGGGCACCCCTGCCTAAGGCCTCGTCTTATCTCTATTTTCCCTGTCGCCTTTCCTTCCCATGTTATAATCACCTTGTTATCTTTGTAAATGTTCCTTAATAGTGCTGTTAGTCCTTCATCTAGGTTTAAGTTCTCCATTATGTCCCACAGGTTTCTTTGGTTCACATTGTCATAGGCACCCTTGATATCCAGAAATGCCAGCCAGAGCTGTCTGTTTTCTTTTTGCGCTATTTCTATACACTGTGTTAGAGAAAATAAATTGTCCTCCAACCTTCTTTGTTTTCGAAACCCGTTCTGTAATTCGCCCAGTATGCTCTCGCAATCTACCCATTCCTCCAGTCTGTTCTTTATAATCTGCATTACCAACCTGTAAATAACCGGTGTCACGGTTATAGGACGATAATTCCTAATATCAGACTTATCTCCCTTTCCCTTATATATCATACTCATCCTACTAAGCCTCCATTCATCTGGAATATTTCCTTTTGTTATCGTGGTACTCAAACTGAAAAGAAAAAAAAAAGGGGGGGGGGGGGGGAGGCACGCATGTGGTCACGTGATCTATGTTGTCACGTGACTGCGCTCTTACGACGTGCAAAAGAAGCGTTCCGTCAAAAATCGCTGTTCTGGTTAGGGATGCCGCAAACTTTTTTCGAATCGAAGTTTTGATGATCGAATCAAGCGGTTCGAAAGGTTCGAAAGATTTCGATTTTTCGAATTTTCTATATTGTAAAATTCGACGGAAGTCGAATTTTCGAACTTGTTAAGCTAAGAAGTTCGACGCTTTTCGAACCGTCGAACTTATTACGCTAAAAACTTCGATCTTTTTCGAACTTTCGAACTTATTGCGCTGCAAGGTTCGATGCTTGTCGAACTTTCGAACTTGACTGACCAAAAAATTCGATGAATTTCGAACTTTCGAACTTATTTATCAAGAGAATTCGAAAAGTTTCGAACTTTCGAATTCTGAAAAGTCAGAAGTTCGACGAACTTCGAACTTTTAGGGTAAAAGTTCGACGTTCGTCGAACTTCGAAAGACCGGCGGACGGTTTCATTTGATTTCAGGTAGTGGTGTACATTCGTATTTTTTTTTCTCGAACTTTTACACGCGGTGCTGCGTTCCTTACGAAAGACAATGTCGTTTATTTCAATGTTCTGGCATGCTTAGGTTTAAAGAAATAAATCCCCGAAGAGGCGAGGAAGGACGACGGGTTTTTGACGATTATTGTTTGTGCCAGATTTGAAGCACGCTGCAGCCGGAGCTATTTATGGTAGATATGTTATACTTTTTTAAGAATGATCTATGTATAGCCTAGGTAAGTGCCGTCTTAAGATGTGATTATTGTTATTCAACGTGAGTTTCGAAGAAATGTCCAAACATGTATCTGCATGCAATTATGACCTAAACTTGATATTTATTTTCGTCTAAGTTGTTTGAGGTACCGCATTTAAATTAACAGCACAGACAGTACATATCATTGCCATCTGCAGAATACAAAATAATATATTCATTGTTTTTTCACGTTAAGGAATAAATTAACTCATGGAAGAAGATTTCTAATAGAGTTCAAGTTCAGCACGTCATTAAAAGAAAACTTTTTTTTTTGCTTCACGTTCCTGGGACGTGTTTCTTTTAGCCTGTACACATTTTGGTAAAAGAAACTTGTTTCGAAGTTCTGAACCTCTGAATATGCAAGAATAGAACACTTCCGACGAATTCTTGATAGTTTTTTTTTTCCTGGTTTTTATTCCCGCATTTATTCTTTTTTTTTTTTTTTTTTGTTACTATTGGCACAGGTGTTTAGGTCGAAAAGACAGCTTTGAACTTCCGAACCACTAAGCATGTGACGAGCAGTGCCTTCTGACAACGAGTTTCTAACAATGAACATCTACGCAACCTTTTATGCAGTGAAGAGCGACAGTAGCTATACATATGCATAAGTAATTTCAGATTAAAATAAGCTCGACCACGCCCTCTTTCCCCGTATTGTTTTCTTTAACAGTCCGAAATACCTGCAAGGGGAAGAAGGAGGCTGAAGCACCCCCCCCCCCCCCTCCCCCTTCGCTACCCTCTTTCCCCCGTTTTTCCTCTTTCGACGCCACTTGTATGGTAGAACGCTCCTCGACCTCGAGTTGTGTCGGCTTTTGTGCTTTTTGCGAGGCGATTCCTCCGTCCCAGAAAATAAACCTCCAGGACAATTATAAACTTCACCGGATCGGATTACTACCAGCGTGCAAGGGGTGGCGAGCTAGTTTGCCAGGTCGCATCAAGGTTTTTCTGAGCCTCAACCTCCTGCTCGCCCCTGGCCGTTTCGAACTGGATGAGTCTCGTAAAACAGTGTGTTCGTGCAATCACTACTGCGTGATGCAGGTTGAAGACCCCCCCCCCCCCCCCCCCCAGGGCTGGCGGTCACAATTCTGCACTGGCAAATATTCTAGCACGTCTGGGACACTCGTCGCCTCATTTAATTGCCTGACCAACTTCGCAGAATCTAGATATCACACCCTAACTTTTCTAAACTTGATTTTGTGAAAACCAGTGAGTCGTGAAAACGTTATTCGAAACTGAAACTGTGGAAAAACTTGAAAATCGGACTTCGAACTTTGAAAACTTGGATTAAAAAGAAATTCAAAATCTTCGAAGTTTTTTTTTTTTTTTTATTAACTTGACGTTTAAAAAGAATCGAAACCTTCGAACTTTTCGAACTTTATGCAAAAATAAATTCGAAATCTTCGAATTGTTCGAACTTCATGTCTATAAAAATTCGAAGCGTTCGAAGTTTTCGAAATTTTTTTACAAACAATTTCGAAATCTTCGAATTTATCGAACCTGAAGTAAAAAAATATTTGAAATATTCGAATTCGAAATTTTAGAAACCGTGAAAGCTTCGAAATTTTCGAATTCGAAACACCGCTGTGGTCAAAAGTTGCGAATTTTTCGAAATCGAACCTCGGTCGGTACGAAAATATCGAAATATTTCGAAATCGACCTCAGTTTGCTTCGCAAATATCGAAACCTTTCGAAATCGAACCTAGGGTGGTTCGCGACATCCCTAGTTCTGGTTGACTGCCCCACGGGCGGCGTTCTCTCGAGCTTCTTGGACTGTATGTAATCACAAAAAATGCGGGACGGTTGTGACTACTACGGTTAGCTACAGAGAAAGTCTACCACGCACCAAAACATAAAATAAACTTCAAAAAAAAAAAAAAAACGGCTAGAAAATGATTTTTTTTGGCTAGATGGCGCAAGCTGCCGCCCGATGATACAAAATAAGTTCATCCAGTGGTTCATCCAGTCAACCAAAGCCATCGCCATCGCTAGTTTCGCTACGGCCGCAATGAACAAAATGAAAGCGCGAAAGTCGAGAAATATTGAAGAGTGGCTCTAAAGTATCCTCGAGCAAGTGGTTCCAACATCTAAACGACCACAAAGACTACAGTTCGACATGAATCATATCCAAGGTGAGAACTAACCGCATTCGTTTCCGTCTACTGAAGCACGTCCTGCGAGTGCACAGGCGGTGTGTGTGTGTCGCCTGTTTTGCCTTGTTTTGTCTCGGGTTGTTAATCACGATTGCTTATTTTCTGGCGTAGTACTGCTGAAGACATTTCTGCTGGAGAACCACCGAGACGATCTCAGCGCCATTCTAGCAGCTGACGATGAAAATCGCCACTACTCCGTAAGAGTGGAGTAAGCCCATTTTCCCCCCTATGAAATCAAACTTTCGAACGCGAAACAGTTCTTTCCTTCGTAAAACCACGTTCATATAGACGAATGTGAGACTCTGGAGGTTTGCCATTTAGCCCTCGAATAATGTGTGCGAAGTGACTTATTTGGCGCGTGAAACAGTACGTTGAGCGCAGCGAACGCAGCGTAGCGCAGAACGCGCGCGTTTCATTAGCCGGCGAGTAGGAACTCGTATAGGCATCCGACAATGGCCACGCGGCGCCACGAGAGTACTGCATTCAGCGCCACAAGCGGAGGCGCCTCTGTTAATGGGGCGGCCAATCTGCCCGTCGGGCCGTTACGGGCGGCGGCGACCCCGATTTCAGCAGTCTCCGTGTGCACCAGCGTGTACACGTTCTGCGTTCTTTTATACGGTTTTTTAAGACCATCGGGAGCCTTGATAGGTCTAAGTGTTGAGAGAATATTCTAGAGTCGTCGGACACCAGTTTGAGTTGTCTTCACTTGTGGCCGCCCGATCGGTCTGTGCTTCGCTCATCTCCCAGGAAGTGACACAACACAACGAGAAGGCAGTGAATGGGTTTATTGTACATCCCGGTTACCTGTCTTCGAGAGTCACTAGTCCGGACCCGCTGACCCTAGTTGTCGTCCGTCGTTCAGAGCTCGCAGTCGGAGCCCGTGTCCAGGCCTGCAGATCGCCCTTTCCACGCCAGTGCTGCATAGGCTAGCTGTTGCGGGCTATCGCAGCCAGAGTCTCGTTGCGGAACCACCCTGGGATCGTCATGGACTAGACCAGTATGGTCAGGGTTCGCCGCTTCCGCCGGTCCTGATTCGCTGGTGGAATGCTCCCAGGAATCGCCATGGGCCAGACCAGCCAGAACGGCTCTATTGTTCCTGCCCGGCCCCAGCCTTGTGCAGCACGCTCTTCTTCTTTCCTTGCCGGCTGGCGCCCGCTCGCGCCCGCTTGCGCCTCGCTCGGCCGTCCTCTCCTCCCGACGCCCACACGCACTAGAATAAAATTTGGGTAATTAGAACCAAACTCTGCATGCTACTGAACTGTACGCACATTGCAAAGCCTGGTGTAAAATGGCGACAGGCAACGAAGTGTATGTGTAAGAAGGATATTTACGCTTCGCACAAGATTTTTCTGAAGAAAAACTTTAGCATCCTGCTTTTTGCACGCCGTCACTTTTGTTACCAGACTCAGAATTAAATTTGGTTGCTGAAACAAACAAAGCTTTGTGCTACGAAAATCCACTATTTGAAAACTCGCAGGTTTGGAAGGTTTTGGTTGTGACCATGCGTGCCGAACGGCATTAGGAGTGCTGGAACGGGCCAACGGGCCTTTCACTTGAAGACCTGATCGCCCGATTCTCGACGTCGCAGCGAAGAAACAATCGGCCCGATGGTTCCTACTGTATTTCTCTAATGTGGCTGTCAAAGCGACTCGTAATACAACTTGTATAAATGTTATTTTGCCGAGTAGTCTGCAAAATCAGTTTGTCCGACCACTTTCCAAGCCTGCTCATATATTTTCGTTCATTCCTCCCCCCCAACAGTTTCTGTAAATTCACTTACTGGTTGCGTCGCGCTGTAGTAATCCACTTCTGTCGCCGTGTCGCCGCTTCCCAAGATCTCGAAGGGAAGCTGGGGGGAAGCAGTGAAGTTTCACGCTTGAGTCACCTTCGCAACTGTGGCCATCTTTCATGCAGCAGAAGCAACATTCATTTTTTGGGAGAACTCTAGGAGTAGGCGAGATGTCACAGGAACATTGTAAAGTTATAAAGACGTAAAGTTGGGATTTACTTTAACGAAAAACGGTTCCAACAAAGCTCACGCCGATCCGAAATGTAACGTTCACACGCGGTTTCTGGATGTGCCTGCCCGCAGCCCCCGCGACCCGCGTAGTCCTGGCCTACCCAGTTTCTTTATTTTGCAGCCGCTAGATGGCACAACGAGTGGCGCCAAACGGCATTGCAGGTTCCCTATATCTCCGACCCTACCAATCAATATCTGTGTGCGCTGTGCTACGCTGCGTTTGCGACGCTCGACGTCGGAGTGTGAAGGCCCGTTCACTCTCTTGCGACCTCTTAGGCCCGCTTCAGACAAAGCAATTTCACCCAGCAACTTGACGTCGCAACACCAGTCCAGCAACATGGGCCGTCCGCGTTCACACGCAGCAGCCGAATTGCTACGACTTGCTATCATCATCATTCACTTTGAATTTTCTTGCACTATTTAGACGCCGAGTTACGCGCTAAAAGCGTGTTTTCATGTCTTTGAATGGCATTGAAAATACTAACTCAACTTTCTGAAATGGTTTATTTCCAAAAACGATTGATTTCAAAACAGAACCAAGTCTTTAGCTGTCATCATCACCACCACGGGAATGTCACGTGAAAATATCGCGTCCCTAAGGCCCGCTTCAGATGGGGCAACTTTTGTAGCAATTTTGAGGTTGCTGCCGGGTTGTTCCCCAGCTTTCCCTTAGTCAACACGAATTGCTGAGATCGGGTCCAGCTCGAAACGGACGAGCAACTCGAACAACTCGGAGATGTCTGAAGCGGCAGCAGCCAATCAGGGGCGTGATATTTTCACGTAACGCCCCTGTGGTAGTGATGATGACAGCTAAAGACTTGGTTCTGGTTTGAAATGGATCGTTTTTGGAAATAAACAGGTTCAGAAAGATGAGCTAGTATTCTCAACGCCATTCAAAGATATAAAAACACGTATTTACCGCGTAGCTGTGCGTCTAAATAGTGCAAGAAAGATCAAATTGAATGATGATGATGGCAAGTCGTAGCAATTCGGTTGCTGCGTGTGAACACAAGCGGCCCATGTTGCTGGTGTTGCGATGTCAAGTTGCTGGGTGAAATTGCCCCATCTGAAGCGGACCTAATTGGCTGCTGCCGCTTCAACAACTCCGAGTTGTTCGAGTTGCTCCTCCATTTTGAGCCGGACCCGATCTCAGCAATTCGTGTTGATCTAGGGAAAGCTAGGGAACAACCCGCCAACAACCTCAAAATTGCTGGAAAACTTGCCTGTCTGAAGCGGGCCTTAGAACTTAGTACCTCTTACAGCGAGAGGACACAGTGGCGCCATCTATCAAGTTGCAGTGTAAACTTGGCGGTCCGGCATAATTTCTGTTTCTCCTGCGCATTATTTTTTCTTTCTTGGCTCGAAAAACTTCTGTAGACGTTATAAACAAGCTTTCTCATAGGTATTGCGCACATTTGACCTCGGAAATCCCGCAAAACCTTCACTTTTGTGAAATGCAGTTCCAGGGTCACCGCATAGATGGCGCCAGAATGCCAGTCTGTTTCCGCGTCTGAAGAAATTTTAAGAAGTTTTAACAGATCTTGTCTTTCTCGGTTGTACTGGGTTGCAAGAGTGTGAACGGGCCTTAAACAAGCCTTAAGAAATCGTCTGCTACGCGGTATACGAGAACCATCGGATCGTGTGGCACCAGGCCAGTTTACCTTAAAGGAGCTGTGCAACAGTTTCAGTGCTTTGCTTAAATAATTTGGGTTTTGAGAGTTGTTGTCTCGACCTTTCTGAAGTAAAGAACAAAAAAACGCTTTTACCAGCAGGTCCTAGTTTTTTTTTCAAAAATGGACAAAGATTGAGGTTTTCGGCACCTCTCAACTCCTTCACTATCTTCCAAGTCACGTGCGCTGTGACGTCAATGGGGTTTGCGCGGGGTTCCGGTGAAGCTCTCTCTCTAGAGCCATCAGGTAGCAGCAAGAACTCATCTGCTCGCGACCACGTGCTGGCAGGCGCAGCCAAGCGCAGCGCGAACAATATGGTGAAAGGAGGAAAGTCTCATCCGGGTCCGGCCATCCCCGTCCGGCGATGTCCCCTGTCCCCCTCCGCCTTCTGGCGGCTGTTCACAGCAGCAGATAGAGCTGACGGTTTTGTGGACCTAGGATAGATGGCGCCACTAAAACTCCGTATGATAAAAGTTTTGTCAATGATACCAGGTTTTTGACGCATTTATATATATGTTGGAACGACAAGATTTATAGAAAAGTTACCTTTTATCGAGCAGGTATTCGCACTCCCTGCTATCTTTCTACAAGACCGCCATTAACGTCACGCTGCGTGTCTCTCATGGCCGCCGCTCGCGGCTGCAGGTCAGGGAATATTCTAATTTTTGCCCCGCGGTTACGCTGCGGAATCGCAACATTTCGAAGGAAGGAGGTGTGTTTTCTGTCCTTTGTGACAAGGTGAACAATGTCAAAGTAGAAGATGCCAATTCTTTCAACATTAAAATCGTTGCACAGCTCCTTTTAAGTTAGGGTTTACTTAGAGCTCATTAATCTAGTTGATCGTCATCATAATTGTGTGTTATTATTGCCTACTGGTTGCTGTGAATGAACTTTATTCATTTATTCGATGCTCACGTAGCTTCTAGTGGGGTTGAGTTCAAACATCTAATGCGCCATCACGAGTGAATATTGTCACGAATGACAAGTGTGCACACGCACACTTTGTTGCATGTCGAGGAAGATAGCAGGTGGAACAAGGCGGAGAGATCTCAGACGATCTATGCTTTCGCCTCCTCCTTAAATCTGGCATTGTAAATGCAGCCCACAAACTATGCGACCCCGATCGAGAAGGTGGAACATTGCCAAAAACCATTGTTCGCTCTTTGAAGGCGAGACGAGCTTGGGTTTATTCAGTGACTGCTCTCAGTAAAATACAAGGACAGACGCGAACACTTGAGCGGGCAAGAAGGAATGGTTATAAAATATAAAGTCGAAGTGGGTGTTGTCTGTGAGCACCCTCGCCCAGCTATCGTGGTGAGCAAATACTGCAAAGTGTGCTGACAACAGTGAAGGAAAAAAAAAAGAAAGTAAGGGCCATTGCTTGCTTTTTCACTTTTGTTTCCTTCCGTTTTTTAGCGGGACCACCCTTTTTGATGCTAGCGTTGAATTTGGCGAATCGCTCCTCTACGATCCTCTGAAGACTCTGGACTCTATGAAGGCGGCGTGTTCCCTGGCACTTCGACAACTGTTTGAGGAGGATCCCATTAAAGAGAAATCGGTGAGTCTCCAAGCTGGTTGTCACATTTGGAAGAATACGTAATTTTAGGTTGCGTCATTTCTGGGGAGATTTGCTCCTCATTTTGAGTAAATATTGGAGACCCCGAGACTGCAGGAAAGCAAAGATGACGCATACACAAAAAGTATCAAACGCAGCTGAATTTTATTTCTGTCAGAAGGTGCTTAGACGGAGATGAATGTTTAGACTAGTGCAGAGATGTTTCGTTTGTGCCTTCTTACGATTCCTATCCGCGATCTCACGACTAGGATTTTCCCAGCTGTGATGTTACAAGAGTTCTCCTGACTTGCCCTCTTCCCTTCACCCCAAAATAAGCAATAACGTTGCGAATTTAATCTTGGTTAACTTATCTTCGCTTGCAAACGATGCAATTTGGAGGCTTTGTGTAAAAGGAAAGTACTGCGGATGCTTGGAGTCATCACATTATGAAACCAATTCCATCAAAGTTGACAGTCCGACATTACTGTGGTTTTTGCCGACGAAAGAAAGATTAGTCCGACTAATGACTTCCCAGGGAGCATTTGGCCTATTGTGGAATGCCGACCGCTGCGACGCTTTTGGTCTCTAATAGGATGGCAGTTTCTGGCCACTTCAAGGACACTTTTTTGTTTTTATTTCTACTTTCTTTTTTTTTTTCTTTTTTAGCACCTGGGTACGGTGAAGTGTTGATGCAGTCACGAGTACTTGTTTGTTAACTATTTTGATAGCCTCGCTCTTTGGTCACAGGGTGTCGTCGCAGCCTTGTGCCAAAGCATAAAGTTGCTGGAGTGCACGCAGCTGTTTATTTCTGGCCACATCAAAATATAATCGCAATTGGCATTCAAAATACGAGACTGTTAAAGTAGACCACAAAAATCATTTTGGCAGTAGGTTACAAAAAAAGAAAATGATCAACGATCCATTTGAGCTACGCCGATCCTTGTGAAGAGCAGCTACACAGGCTGCCCTAGAGATTTTCGGAAGCCTCTGAAAAGTTGTTTTAATCATTTTGCAGACCTCGAAGGACAATGTTCACCTGCGTCTAGTCAACTTGCCCCACTTCATCCAGATGCCGACACTCCCTGGCTGTAAAAATCTATCCATATTTCAGACCATCAGTGGTAAGACATAATCGAGGTTTTACAGCTAAGTTCTATATGACTCGGTGGTCGGGTTTTTTTTCGTGTCCGTCGACGGAACAGTAGTCGACAGATAAAATAGTCAACAGAAAACCATCGCGCGCGCCTTATTGCTGTTCGCACGCACCTTATCTCTTATGATTTGGCTTTGACCCTTGTTTCAATTAGAAAACCACAAAACAAGTGTCAAAATCACATAATAGATTATAAGCACATAGCGCTCCTTGCATTTGTTTCCCGATAAAGATTACGGTTGCATAAGCTGCCGTGGCAACGGCAGAGCACAAAGTCTCATATACAAAAAGAATTTGTTGCTGTGCATTTACTTTTCTTTCGTCAGTCCTTTGGTATAGACCCTTTTGCTGTTTACAAACATGAACTGCCGCTTCCGTCCCAAGCGACTTCGGGTCGCACCGTCTTTGCAAGCCTGATGTGCTTGCTTATGTCACCAGTGCTAGAGAGCACAAGTGCTACACGGACAACAAAGTTGGAGATCTAACGAAGGCCTTTGGCTGTGCAATACGTATCACATCTTGAAGGAGGCAAGTTGGTTTACGAGAATACTCGAAACATTTTAACGGATCTCGCGCTCCTTCGTTCTTTTGGCATTCACCTGGAGAAGTGATGGCTAAATGTTTCATCTACATTTCAAGTAGCGGTGTTAAGGTGGCCTTTGTTCCTTCTTTTTATAAGCCGGAAGCTCTTCGGGACGGTCAAAGACTAGAGCACCACCTGGTGGTGTTTGCCATAAAAGGGATCTTAGTGCACTGGGCAATGTTGCAGATGATACCACAGTCTTGCTGTCGAACCACCTTCACAGCGTGGATTAGAGCCTTAATTGTTTTTTTAGCCATTTTCTACGCCAGAGGCAGTCTCATCGCAAGGTGTCTTGACCTTTGGAAATGGGAAATGGGAAAACCATCCGGGTCAGTAACTTTCTAAAGGGCTATTAAGGGCAGTTCAAAACATTTTGCTGGCAAACGTGCCAAGGGGCTAAAAAAAGCTGAAAGACATTTTCAAGAATTTGCACAAATAATAAATACAGATCAAGAGAAACACTTTTTGTAGCTTAGTCATAATTATTTTTTAATATTAGAAAGACATTGAATTTGACCACTTGTAGAAGGCAAACGTTGGTCGTTAAATGCCAGCTGAGGAGTCATGTTAAGCCCTGAAGTCTGTAATACTCTCTCCCTGTGGAATTTCTTTGCAGTGAAATGGGTGTCTCGTCTGCAGAGGAAACGAGTTTTACATCAAAGTCGCTTTTGCTCTAAAGGTACCGTGGTGCGGATCAAGAGGATGAAAGTTCTGGAGCGCCGCAAGGACTACATCTGCGGCAAATGTGGCGACACCTTCACGCTGGAGGCAGACATTCGGATGTGTCACACACCGTCCAAACCCGCCAACTGCCCGAGCGTCCTTGGCTGTAATGGCACCAAGTTCGTGCCCTCCACAAAAGGTAACACCGGAGCTTACGAGCACCCTGTCTCATCGAAGCAACCTCTCCGTATTTCATTCCACTTTGCCGTAAAAAAATTGAGCAAGCGGCTACGCAAAAGTTGCAGATAATTACGAAGAAATTATACAGGCTCAATCATGCTGACAATGACCCAGAAACACAGAATATGTCGCCACACAAACTACACTCCGTGTGTGGTTTGTGATGGCTTTATCGAGGTCTCTGTTTCTTAATGATTTTATTTTTGTTTTAGTTCTATGCGTGTATTTTTATCTTTTATTTTTATCCTAAACCTGCCGTTGTCCTTGGCACTTTTGTGTGAGTAGATCGGTGCCTATTCGCGACTCCGACAACCTATAAAGGTCGCCACGACTCAACAAATGTAGCGGTCAAAAAAAGGTCGTACCATGCCATGTTCCAGCTCGACGCACAACACTCTGGTTTATACGGGAAAACATCGGCTTCAAAAGGTTTTCTCCTATTTTTATCCACTACGTTCAAAACCTGCGTCGGCACAAGCGAGCTTTCAGAGGCTTAGCCTTCAGAAAAGCAACGAAGGGACTACCTACTCTCCTTTTACTGTGCTTATTAATGTTGATAAATGCAAAATGTCCGTTCAGAGGGACCTTGACAACGCGCCGATGCAACAATAACGTCAAAGTCGCCAAGACAAATGTTTGCCCTAGACAACATGAGAAGCAATGCGACCTAATTTGTTCGGAAATTAAAGTTCCGGTTTTGCCCACGGCCCCGTCACTGCTGCCGTTTTCGTTGCTGCAGACGCAAACAATGCAACTTCCCTCGCTTTGGTGGCCATTGCGCCAACCGCCGGCAACATGCAGTCACGAAAGGCAGGAGAGCCGAGCAAAAATCGTGAAAGTGCCCGTTCCGGCCAGTTGGGCGTTTTCCTGCCAGGTGCCGTTTGTTTTGCTGCAGTCGCAAATAGCACCCAACTGCCACCGCACGGACCCAGGTTAGAGCCTCGCTGGGGGCTCGAACTTTATATGTAAACTTTATACATAACGTTAATGTCTGTAACACTGTAACATCACGCTCGTCCGTGACATTTTTTTCGTAGAAAACTCTGCATAAGACATTCTCGGTTAAAACGATCGCGCAGTGTTACGTCACGTAACACAGTGGGACCTGATGTAACATCACCTGACATCGTGATACAACGGTGACAGTGCATAGCCCGACGTCTCATCACGTCGCCAGGTAACATGACAATGCGACATGACTGTGACATTGCATGGCCGCGTCGCTCGAGGTTACGACATAGTGACTCGCGTGACGCTGTTGCATTGCGTGATATGACGTCGCGTCACGTGGTTGTGTGACCACGTGGGCCATGGTGACACCAACCGTGCGATTGTCATACACCTGCGTTATCGTGCTTTTGTAACGAAGTTTTGCAATGCTCTAGGCCAGAGGTTCTCAAAGTGTCTTACCTTGAGGAACGGCCATCTTTCTTGTCGGATAACCGAGGAACCCCTCCCACTATTAGCATTGGTGGGATGAAGTGGCACAGAGGCCTAGAGACCGGGGCCCTCCAAACCCCAGCCTGCAGAGGCCGTTGTCTTTCTAGTAATGCCCAGCTCGCGGCTCACTGGTAAAATGGAAAACTAAGCGAGCGTAAAAAAACAGCGCCAAAACACACTTTCAGAGCGCTAAAAAAAGTATTAAAACTAATTTTAATAAAAAACTGCATCAAAGTGTTTTTATTTTTACCATATCATGTATTATGAGTTTCCCGTTTCATATCTCTGTAATTATGATAAAATTCTTTTCCGTTCTCACGTATATTGTACTTAGTGTCCTGCGTGATAACGCTTGCATGATGTCATCATCAAATCTACCCTTTCTGATTAGTCTTCTGCCCTGTGTGAATATGCCAAATTTCCCACGCGCTTTCGATTTAAATCCGTTAAGTTTCCTGGAACAAAATTATTTTTAATGTCGAAACAAGTGACATTGCATCTAAACATAAAATGTACATATTCATCCACCTTACATCCCTTTATGACTGTTTATTCTAGTTTTGAATTTCTGTATTTAAGTGCTTATTTAGGCCTATTTATTTAGTATTTCCTCATTTATACCGTTTTGTTTATTTTCCGGCCCTGGAGACTGCAACAGGTCCTCAATCCGGCTTCTTGGCCAAAAAGTTTGGAGACTGTGTGAACACTAATGCTCCTGCTGGGCTGGCGCAAAGTTGTGCGTCGGTAGATGGCTCATGTCTGCTCAAATATGGCTTCTACAGAAAAAGCTCTTTACTTGGAAACGGGGATGGTGAAGGCAATTTAAAAGCTCGGGGAAGCCCCGAAGGCACTCTGGGGAACACTGGTGTCCCTAGGAACCCAGTCTAGGAACCCCTGCTCTAGGTTGAGAGCCATGAAGCGCTTTGAAACATGTTCGGGTTCTGCAACTTCTCGGCCTAGGGCACACCTTCTCGAGCTGGGCAGGTCGCTTTGGCAGTGAAGCCACACACCTTTTGCACCAGTGGATGTTTAAAGGGACACTGACAGCCCCCCAAAAAATTTTGTTTATGTTTTCCAGGCAATTCATTATGGTGTCAGAAAACCCAATCAATATTTTGCTACAGCTTTATTTTTAATAAAGTAAAAAAAATGCAACTGCTTGAAACCGAAACTGGACTGGGGACGAAAAAGAAATATAGAGGACTAGAAAGTTACCGAAAGTAATGTGGCTGTGCAATTTTCTTTTTTTTCAATCGACGTATTTGCAGTTTTTAAAGGCCACAAAAAGAGTATTGTCGGGACCGGTTGTAACAAAATAGCTTCTGCAGCGAAGCGATCACGATTTCCCATTCTCTTTGGCATTACGTTATAGCCGTACTCGGTTATAACGAAATAACAGATATAGCGAAGTGGTTATCGATTCCCGTTGACTTCATTATAACCGGTTTCCACAGTATGATATATTTTGTCCATTTTTTGTATTGAGTGTGCCTTCAATGGCCCACAACTTTGGTTACCTTTGGTGGTTGTGTCTAAACCATGAAAACCGGCTTGTGACCACGGAAAAGAGTGAGCGTGACAAACTGTCCAGTCCTTGATCGGTGGTTTTCGGCCGGAAAGGAAGCGAATTTCGAGTTGCCAATTGTGTTCTGGGTAGTTGGGTTCTCATATGTCATGTATGAATAAAAACTTTGGGGGACATAAATACCCCGTTAGTGTCCCTTTAAGGAGAAGGACGCCGGGTGGCAGTTGTTTCCACGCACCTGTGTAACGTGCAAGTGTTGCGCGCAGCGGAGGCGGACAGCTGCAGCGACTACCAGGAGATCCTGGTGCAGGAGAAGATGAACAATCTGGTGCTGCGCCACACCCCCGGCAGCACCTGGGTGGTGCTTGAGGACGACCTGGTTGACTGCTGCAAGCCGGGGCAGGACGTCCTGGTCAGGTGCGTTTTCTGCGCAGTGTTTTTAGTTGGCGTCCTGTTGCGCCCATGCGTCCAAACCCCCAGTGGCAACAAATTGCCTCATAAAATTGTTCGGAATGGAAGCTTCGGCGTGTTGGTAAGACATGATTATTTAAAACGTACGGCGGTACAGGCGGGACAAAAGAAAAGAGACAAGCAATTGCTGAACTTACGACTGGAGTTTTGGTCGTCAAGGCGCAGCCTATATGCACGGCCAAGCAAAAAGAAGTGCACACAGCCAATGACTCCCCACTGAAACCCGCACTATCATCGCGCATGCTGTCTTCGTAAAAGGAAATCAAATTCTTAGGCAACGGGGCGCTAACACACTGTTTCCCCAAGCGCGCTATCATCTCTGCCTCCATAATATCTCTGGTCCAAGCATTGGCACTTCTTCCAGTGACAGTGCATTTTTTAAATTCCGTATCACACCCACAGTCACGGCACTGAATGCCCAAGTGTCCTGGCACTACCCCGTTTACAGTATAGACCACTTACAACGTAACCGCTTATAGTGCAGGACCGGGTATAACGCATTTTTTTTAAACCACCGGTTCACCTCCCATAGAACTCCATGTAATTACATACCGCTTAGAATGCCGGCGCGCGAAGGGAAATACCGGTTATAGTGCGGTTTCTGGCACAGCCCGCCGACCGCGCCGACGACCGGAGCAGCGAGCACGCTTCCCTGTGCGACTCTAGATAACGGCGCTGACGGCGCGAGCCGCAAGCGGCACTTGCGGGGCAAGGACGTTGCTCGAAAAAGCGGGGAGAAGCGAAGAGAGAGGCTTCAGTTGCCATAGCGACGGAGGGACGCACATATGTGTCGTTCACGTGCGTGCGTCCGTCCGCTGCGTTGGAAACAGACAACTGCAACGACGGACGAATCGCAGATCGAGGAGAAGTGTTCGCGCGCGTTGCATGCTGGTCGCGGGCCGGCTGCTTCTATCCGCAAACATGGCGTCGGTTGTGATCGTCCTCGTAGACGGCGTTCATCTCATCGTTTCGCGTAAAAGCGCTATGCTTGTCTGTGAATTTTCGTAGTGTGTCGCTATGATAACCCAGCAAGTACTAGAAGGGAAAATCCACCTACTCGTGCGGCGATGTCGTGGCGGCGCTCTCAAAACGGCAGAAACGCCCATGTCGTTGTATTTGTTTACTTCGACTACAGTGGTGATTTCTAAGCATTTGTGTCCTCAAATATCGCCCAAATTTCTTATTTGGCGCATTTCATGCGTGTGCTCAAGTTCAAGGTATTGCTGGCTCGTACCGTATGAAGGATGCGAATTTTCACGCGTTTTCATCTCCGGAGAAAAGTGATTAGGGTTATTTATTATTTAGGGATACTACCAGCTCCAGTCAAGGAGCTATAGTAGGAGTGGTTCCAACATAAACACAGTACACACAGCAACACCAAGCGAACATTAAATAAACACGTTAATCGTAGCGTTCCGCAGCCGCTATAAAAGCATGAACAGAGGTTAAGGGGGGAGGCCGGTCTTTAACTTTGTGTTTTTTATCTTTCATTTATCGTGCTGAAATTCAGGATACTAATGTATTTATCAGTAGTGATTTCAAATGTGCAATTAGTTTTCAGATAGCTTTACGAAATTATGAGTTATTAATAAATTTGCCATTTTAATTAGGTTCTCTTTACGGGTCGTTAGCGTAAAATTCTTCAGAATCTTTCAGAAATTTTTATAGAATTGCATTAACCAATACATGTTTTGTGTGCTGATGCTATTTTTGTTGCTTTATATCTCATACAATAATTTTAATTAATTAATCTAAAAAAGATATAACCTCCCATTTTGTGCAACTTCATTTTAAATGTTTTCTACCGATATAATATCCTTAGATTAGGCTTAAAATAGCATCACCGCACAAAACATGTCTTGGCGAATGTAATTCTATAAAAAAATTGTGATATATTCTGAACAATCTTATGGTAACGGCCCGTAAGGAGGACCTAATTAAAATTACAAATTTGTTAATAACTCAGGATCTAGTTAAGCTATCTAAAAATTAATTGCATATTTGAAATCACCACTGAGAAATACATCAGTATACTGAATTTCAGATTGATAAATGAAAAATAAAAAAACAAAAAGTTAAAGACCAGCCTCCCCCCTTAAGGTGACAATATCATTACTTAGATTATTCCAGCCGCGAATTGCCCGAGGAAAAAAAGAATACCGGTAACAGTCATTTGTAAACCTGTATTGCCTTAAAGATCTAGAGTGGTTTAATCGTGAGGACCCGGACAATGATGGCTGTAAGTAACTGGTGCTATCAATGTGAATGCTGCCATTTAGTATGTTATATAAAATTTTTAACCTTTCGACATCGGCCCTTTTATCCAATGATTGAAGCTGGGCCCTTGCAAGTAACTGAGTGGGGGATGTATTCCTGTTAAAGTTATTATATATAAATCGGGCTGCTTGCTTTTGAATACTTTCGAGTTTGTTAATACCAACCTTTGTGTAAGGGGACCACACTGATGAGGCATACTCTAAAATTGGTCTTACAAATGCTTTGTAGGCTATGAGCTTAGTATCAGGATCGGCAAATTTTAATTTCCTTCTTAGCGCAAACAGAGTACCTCTTGCTTTGTTGACGGTCGTTTCCAGGTGCAGGTTCCAGTTTAGCTTGTTATTGAATATTAATCCAAGATATTTGAATTCGTTTACCCGTTGTAATGATTGACCGCTGAGATTGTAACTGAATAAAATTGGTCTTTTTTGACATGATACTGTCATAACAGCTGTTTTATCATAATTTAGTTTCATTTGCCATTGAGTACACCATTTAAATATTTCGTCAAGTGCTTTCTGTAACTTATAATTATCATCCAGGTCACCTATTTTTTTATATATTATGCAATCATCAGCAAACAAACGCAGGGGAATGTCGATGTTATCAGCTATGTCATTAATGAAGACTAAAAACAAAAGGGGACCAAGTACAGACCCCTGAGGTACACCGGACGTGACAAGAAGTTTGGAGGAGTCAACTTTTTTGTAATGAACATATTGGGTCCTGTTTGTTAAGTGCGCCGTGATCCAGTCAGCTATTTGAGAGTTTTTTAGTAGATTTGAAAGCTTGACTATTAGTTTTGGGTGCGAAACCTTATCAAATGCACCATTCTGATGTTAGCCTGAGACTGAGGCAGGAAAAGAGGAAGTTTCAAAGTAGAAGAAAAAGGAACAGTCGAGGATACGTCTCTATAGAGACGTATCCTCGACTGTTCCTTTTTCTTCTACTTTGAAACTTCCTCTTTTCCTGCCTCAGTCTCAGGCTAACATCAGAATGGTTAATTTCCACCAGCTCGCCTGCGCACTCACTACAATATCTTATCAAATGCCTTTGAGAAATCCAAAAATACCACATCAGTTTGTCCCCGCTCGTTAATTGTTTCCGCCAAGTCGTAAGTTAGTTCCATTAGCTGGGTTGTGGTCGAAAGCGATTTTCTGAAGCCGTGCTGTTTTTTATATATAAGGTTGTGTTTGTCCAAATAACTTGCGATGTGTGTAAAGATGATGTGCTCCATTAATTTGCATGTTGTACTTGTTAAAGAAATGGGCCTGAAATTAGATGCTAAGTTAGAGTCGCCGCCTTTGTGCACTGGAATTACTTTTGCCGTTTTCCAATCACTAGGAAGCAATCCTGAACGCTCGCAAAGTCCGTTCGCAACCCGCGACGCCGTTAAAAGGCTGCGCCAGGCAGAAGCCGCTCATTTCTTTCAAAATGTGTGACACACTTGAGACGTAACTGTACTAGTCTGGTGAAATAAAGACTTTCCTCAAACTAAGCTTTATTTTTCACCTAACATAAAATAAATTATTTTACAAAGGTAAGTTGTCTCATGGCATGTATTTTGGCCTGAAAAATTGTTGTTTTGTTTATAACGCGGTACCGCTTATAGTGCGAATTTTCGCGACTCCCGCGACATACGTTATGTGCGGTCTACACTGTACATTGTAACAATGTACTGTTAACCTATCATTGGGGCATCTGCCCGTCTGGCCTACGTGGTAAACATTACGTAAACCAGACGGGCAGATGCCTCAATGATGGGTTAAGAGAGCATTGTTACAATGTAGCAATGTTCTCTTAACGTAATGGTTCCTAGACCACATTCATTGTGCATTGGAAGGCCACTGGAGTGTTAGTGAAGCTGAAAGGCGTTTTCAAAAACTCATCCGTCTGGTGTCACAAATGCTCTCTTAGCTCAAGACAGCTATTGGCACTTGATAATAGCCAAAAGTCGTATCGAGCGTCGTAAAGCAGGCCCTGGAGATGGTCCAGCTGATCTTCGGTGAGCGGTAGGGCTTCTTAGTATCGGCATTGAGCACTCTGTAATCGATGCATAGTCGCTCCTCCCCGGTTTTCTTCTTCGCGAGAAGTAATGTGTTCTCGCAGTCGGAAAACGAGTCGCAGACCACATCCGCTTCTTTCAGTTCCTCAAGGGCCTGGTTTACTCAATCACGCTGGTCGTACATCAGTCGGTTCGAGCGGAAAGAATCATTCCGAGCCAGCAGCAGTTTCAATGTTCATATCTGCCGCACCCGTTGAGCGAAGCTCAAGGACACTGAGTGCAAAGCAGTCTCGGTACACATTGATGAGATCTAGCGGCCTAGCAAACTTTTAAGCAGTGAGCCGAGGTCCTGTTCGTACGTCCTCTGCCTTGTTCGGTACAAAGCGATCGATTGTCTCCTGCTTGACGGCAGTTTTGGCCGTTTCTGGACCCCAGGATCCTCTTGCCGCTACCTCACCTTTTGAAATGCTGAGGTTGGACTTGGATGTGTTCAAGATGGGCAGAGCTGAGTTGCCGCCTTCAGTGACTTCGATCACGCAAGCAGGAAAGTGGTGCTACGTGACCTCTTGCATTGGCAATTGGACATCCACAAGGACGTGTCCTGTTGTAGACTCCTTGGTTGTCAGGTGAACAATGCTGACGTAATCTCGCGGGATTACAATTG